CCCCTGGGCTGCGTCGGAGAATAAGTTTTCTAATTTCATCATAAATAAAATTGAATTGAATATATCATCACATATGCTCTTCTTAGAAGCCTCTTGTGGAGAGTAGTCTGCTTAAACTGATCTCACATTTTACTCTTTCCTCAGACCAAACTGGTGGTTCTGTGCTTTCCCTTACTCACTCCTCATTTTTATTTATGATGAAATTAGAAAACTTATTCTCCGACGCAGCCCAGGGGGTAAGATAAGACATTTGATTTCCCCATTTTTATCCTGTAGTTGATTCATAACCCTTTGTAATGTATAAAAGCACTTTAATCATTTAGTACTGTTACTGTAGAGTAGTGATACATTTGTGGTAGCTGCTCAAATAGCTAACTCAAGGCTAATGGTTATTCTCTGTTTTAGGTTGGGTGGAGAGGGAGACCTACTACTAGACACAATCCCCATTCATTTTTTTATTTGTTTGCATGGTAGTCTTGCTGATTTCAAATCTACTGGTAAATTTGGGTTTTTTTATATAGAGAATTCAACAAGAATTGATTATGGATTTATGAAAAAGACATGACGTGCTTTTGTTCTGAAGAAGGACATTTTATACATGTTTTTTAACAGTGTAAAATAAAATAAACTCAAAGTTTCCACTGATCTTGGTGTTTGGTTTGGGTTTTTTAATTGGGATTGCAGACTCACGTTAGATTAGTGTCATCGTGGTTGCATATTGGGGTGATTTTTACCACTTATTTGGTCTTGGTTATCTATAGCAGCTTCCTGATGTTAGTTTGCTGGTGCATTTTGTAGCAATATATGGCATGAATAAACTAGATGGGCAAATTTAGGGTGGTTGGGTTAAAACTGTAAATCTGTTCCTGAAACCTGCATTTTTGAACTGAAGTGTCTGCTAAGAAAGTTACTTTTTAGCAGAAATCCTTGTCAGATAACTAGTGTGCTGTTCAATTAAGCATTATGTTAATTGTTAAAGCTCGACAGCGATGGGTACACTCACGGACCTGCCTGATGGTTCTCTTGGCCTACATTTTGAATACAGGTGCATGTTTTGTGGACCTGCTATTCTTTAGATTCTTAGCATGCTGTATCGTTTTCAGGTCGTAAAGGAACAGCTCCTTTGGGGAGGGATGTCTATCTTTGTCACCCCTACACTATCCCACATACAGAAATTCAGGGTTACAGGGCTGTCATTGCATAATTCAAGATTATTGTTTTGTTTGTTTAGTTAGGTAATTAGTTCTCATATAATTTCCATACAAGTGTAAAGATGAAAATGTAGATGATTAAAAACTATAAACTGCTATTTTGATCTTCCATAAATTCAATAATAGGTACAGCTTTACAGATGACAGAATACACCAATGTAAAGTGCCTTGGGGTGACTCTTGTGAAAGGAGCTATATGAAAGTGAATTGAATCGAAAGCAGGGCCCATATTCACAAAGCAATTTATCTTAACACTGAGTACTCCTAAATTGCACTAAACGTATTTTCCTAAAACCTATTCACAAAGTGAGAGCAACTTTTAAGATAAAAGTAGGACTCTGTCGCTTTGGCTGACATCAGTTATCATGCACAAGCTTGCCTGCAATAACTATGGGGGTTGATGAGAGGCCACTATGTACTGGTGAAAATGTACGCGCAACATCTTATAAACACACATACAGTGGAACCCGCTTATAGTGATCAACCGCTTATTTAGGTAAAAAATCTTGGGACAGAATCATTCTGTACAAATACTGTTTAAATAATTTCTTTATAGTAGTCTGCTTACAGTGTTCATTTTTGGTCTTTTTAAAAATTACGTATGGAAAAAAGTTGACTTCCACATTTTTATTTTTTTACTTTAATTTGATTGCCCTACCTCTGCTTCTGGCTAGTTACCTGAGGCTAATGCTATGTAAAGAGAACATTATGGGGGAAAAAGTCACTTTCTCTCAATGAAAATTTCCCATGGGGAAATTCTTTTTACACCTCCATCAACTTGCTCTTTGTAGAGCAAGCTGTCTACAAAGGGCAGCCACCTGTTGGGGCACCCAGGGAGCTGGGGGTTAAGGGGCTTGCTTAAGGACCCACAGACATACTCAGGCTGGGTTTGAACCAGTGACCTTGTGATTACAGACACACAGGCTTAGCCACACAATAAACTCATTAAAGCTTTTGATAAACTGCCAACACCAAGCCAACGAGACAGCGGCGAAACTACATTAAGGTAAATTTTATGTACAGTACTGTATTATAATGTATTTGAATTATACACAGTTCAGTAATTTGAAAAGCGATGAAAACGGCTGTATTGTATTTTGAACAAGTCAATAAAATGTAGTACATAGCGACGCTGTCAATTTTATTACTTTATACTCATGTAATAGACAAATGTCAATTAGATGGTAATCTTCCTGAGACATAAAGAAAAAGAAAAAAATTGGTTATAGTTATTACTATAAGAGGTTTCCACTGTATCTGATTGGGTTGTTTTGTTTTTGGTTTATTGGAGATGCTATTTCATCTCTCTCAATCTCCACAACAATCACTATTCCCTCCTGACTGACAAGGTATCCTTTAAGTAATTAAGCGTTCGTTTAATGCAACGTGGATTGACAGGACCCATTTTGTGACTGTTTATGAATTGGTCTTAGTGACTTAGGAGTCCTCTCGACTACTTTTTAGTTCTCCGGGTTGAAGTGCTACTTTTAGCATGACCGGGCTTTGTGAATTGCTATTAGTCAAAAAAATTAGGAATCCTACATTTAGGACTGACACGCTCATTATTTTAGGAGTTTCTGCTAAATAAGCAAATTAGGAGCTACTTTTAGCCTTAAGATGCTTTGTGAATGCAGGCCCAGATTGGTAGCAAGCTGGACACCTATCCCAAGAAGCAAGGTACAAGACTAGGACAACCCCTTACTAGCAGGATTCTAAAGGCATCAATTCAATTCAATTCAATAGGTTCTCAACCTTTTGATATTCAAGGACTGGTCTCTGTTGTACAAAAATTTCACGGACCAGTGGGGGGTGCCAGTGGATCGATAGGAGCTATTATAAGTTTAATCTGTTCCAGCTCGCATACATTAATCAATCTTAGGTTATATAATATTATAGTGAGCTGATGGTATTAGAGGTCCAATGTTTTTATATTCACTCTCTCTGGCATGCTGCCATGCTTTTAAAAATTTGAGGGATTACATCAGAAGAGAAAAGTAGCCTCCTTTATCCTTCTGACACTCCAAGAAAAAGTATAGACCTTCCTCCAGTTCTTACAGATGTCTGGGATATTTGGAAAGGAGCATTGTGGTGAAAGTTCTGTTGGCACGGCCTTTTTCCTAGAAATACTTAGGCTTCCATTGAAAAAAAGTCAGAGGGAACTTAAGTACAGCTGAGTGTGGCCCTGAAGTTACTGAATAAAAATTCACACTTCATCCAAAGAGCAGCCAGAGCTTGTGTGTGTGTGTGTGTGTGTGTGTGTGTGTGTGTGTGTGTGTGTGTGTGCGCGCGCGCATGTGCATGTTAGAAAGACAGGAGGCACAATGTTTATTTCAAAAGAATGCCACTGTGAGAAATCAGACAGATAAATAAGGGGGTTCTCCACATTCTTGGAGTAGGTGTGGTACCTACCTGTTTATCAGTGCTGGGCACTGGCTGCTAAGATCTTAACTGCATTGTCAGCTGTCTGGGGTCATGGTTCACTTAAATCATACTGCTTCAGTCTCACCTGCATGTGTTTGCTCTCAAAGGTAGAACTTGTCGCTTCAAGGTTACATTCATTTTAATTGACTGTACTTTGAGTTCCCACAGAGATTTTACAACCAGATTGTGCATTAACCACATATATCTTTTGCAATAATTCAAAGGTCTAAGCCATTCCTCACCAGGTCTAGTTACGCCACTGTTTCTTAATAAGCTAAGCATTTTCTTTGGTTAGAGTGGAGGGGGCAGTGACCTTTGCTTATCTCCATGATAAGCTTGTTACTGTGATTGCTTCATCTCTATGAAATAGCCTGTGTGTTACAGTCTTCCAACTGCATTACAGTAGGCCTGAGCTGTAACTATTTACATGTAACATATGATCACATGGCAGACTGGCACAGTTCATAGGCTTCATGGAGTTTCTCAGGCAGACCAACCAAAGAAGGAAAAGAAAGACTATAGAAAGGTACAGTAAGATGAAGTCCATCACTTGTGAATATATGCACCAACCACAAAAAAGGGCAATATTCCAAGTTTTGTGTCTGTCGCATGTCAGATTAACTTGCAACAGATGGTGCCAACAGACCACAGCAGCAGATCTTGCACAAGAACTGAATGTCTTGTTGTGTTCTGCCAACTAAGATCAGAATATCAAACGTCATATCAAAGGTCTTATTCCATTATGGGTACTTTTTATATTCTGAAAGCATAATTGTGTGTGTGTGGGGGGGTGGTATGAGTGGGGAAAGATGCATATTTCCTTAATTGCTAATGTCCCCTGTCCAGCAGGCCTCATCATGAGCCTTCAAAATTGTACACTTTCCCCTTCTAGCAGGCCTTGTCATGAACCTTCACCATCATGCAGCTCCTCCTTCCAGCAGGCCTCATCATGAACCTTCATCATTATGCAGCTCCCCCTTCTAGCAGGCCTCATCATGATCATTCACCATAATGCAGCTCCCCGTCCCAGCAGGCCTCGTCATGAGCTTTAACTATTGTGCAGTTCCCACTTTTGAAAAAATGTGCAGATTAACTCCATACTATCTGTTGTCTTGTTCTGGGAGACTGGCAATATTGGCAGTTAAAAAGTGTATAACAAGCAGTTTAACTTTACCTTTTAATTTTTCTCTATAAACTTTTTCCAAACTCATGTGTGACTATTTACAGAAATTAACCTAGTGAACAAAGTGAATATGTCATGATAATAAAATTTAACACTATTAAAATAATAATCTAGTAGAATGGGTATAAAAACGAATCACCCCCTTCATTTACAGCCTGAAATGAAGACACACACACACAAATATTTTCCAGTTGTGTTAACTCAATGCAACTTCAAACAGCCAAGTGAAAGATATAATAGCAACAGTTCAGAAAAATAAAATAAAACAGAATTACTGAGATGGTTAAAGGATCACACCCTGTGTCAGTACTTTGCAGAACCACCTTTTGCTTTGATTACACCCATGAGTGTTGGGATACTTCTCTACCAGCGTTGCACACTCTGTGTAATATTTGCTCACCAATATTTGTGACCATTGGTGGACTGCAATCTTCAAGTCATTCTACAGATTTTGAACAGGGCTTAAGTCTGGGCTCTGACTAAGCCATGCAAGGACATTCATCTTTTTTTTCCTTCAGCCACTATGTGGTCAACTTTCCTGTGAACATTCTTCCTATTGACAACTTTCTGGCAGGGGGCAGCAGATTTTCCTTAAAAATTTGAATGATATTTTGCTCCATCCATTTTTGTTTTCTATCTTGACAAGTGCCCCAGTCCCCACTGGAGAGAGACACCCTCACAGCAGGATGCTATCCCCACCATGCTTTACTGTAGGTATGGTGTTCTTTGGACGCTGAGCTGTATTGGCTTTTCACCAGGTGTATTCTTTCTTTGGCTTTGAGGCCAAATAGTTTGATTTTGGATTCCTCTGACTGCACCACATTTATCCA